AGTTCCCTTCCGTGCCTCGCTATTAGTATTCTCTCTCTCCGGCCAGATCCGCTTCCCTTTCTGTTCTTCCCTTCTCGTAGATGTGGAATTTTTACTACATCCCCGCCGCAGTGTAGATCCCAGTGAGGGTTCGTACGAGGCTGCATTAAAGGTGAGCGCGGCTTAAAGGTGACCTAATACATCTTTAGAAGCGAGGATATCGAAACCGTGACTTTTACGCAATTATCAGCGATTATCAGTCGTTTCACAATCAAATTTAGAAGGTTTTTATCCGTTTTATTGTTTAACTTTTTATTTTTGGTACGATATAAAGAAAATTTATCGTTTTATTATATGCTGTATCGAATTTGAGAATTTGTCATTTTAGAATATTATTAAATTGATTCGGATTCTTGTCCATTATTTTCTTTTTTAAGGATCAATGTCCAACTATAACTAAAATTTATTGAGATATTTTTCATAAAAAAAGCAATAATTTCAAATTTAACTATATTATAATAGATATACACATAGATGCATTATCAGTCATTTCACAATCAAATTTAGAAGGTTTTTATCCGTTTTATTATTTAACCTTTTATTTTTGGTACGATATAAAAAAATTTATTGTTTTATTATATGCTGTATCGAATTCGAGAATTTGTCATTTTAGAATATTATTAAATTGATTTGGATTCTTGTCCATTATTTCCTTTTTTAAGGATCAATGTCCAATTAAAATTTATTGAGATACTTTTCATAAAAAAAGCAATAATTTCAAATTTAACTTTATTATAATAGATATACACATAAATGTATTATCAGTCATTTCACAATCAAATTTAGAAGATTTTTATTCGTTTTTATTATTTAACCTTTTATTTTTGGTATGATATAAAGAAAATTTATCGTTTTATTATATGCTGTATCGAATTCGAGAATTTGCCATTTTAGAATATTATTAAATTGATTTGGATTCTTGTCCATTATTTCCTTTTTTAAGGATCAATGTCCAACTGTAACTAAAATTTATTGAGATATTTTTCATAAAAAAAGCAATAATTTCAAATTAACTATATTATAATAGATATATACGTAGATGCATATATACAAGATATTAAAATATTCGTGGGATATCTTTGGAAAATCGATTCTAGAAACTGAAACAAAAATTGGTATAAATTCAAATACAAAAATTTCGATTAAGTTATAAACAAATTAACTTATTTATTAAATTATAAGCAAACAATTTGCGTTGGGTGAAACGAAAAAAATAAAGTGAGATCTTTTTGTTTCCGTTACATCATAATTGCAGTCTTTTACGTTCCATCTACGCAAAAAAATTATAATTTAATAAATAAATCTAAATTGATATTAATTTTTTATTTGTTTGTCTCAATATATGTATTGTCCAGAAAATAATGAGACTAATAGAAATGTAGATTTTTCGCTTTATAAAAAATATATATTAAAAATATATATATTCGCTTTATTAAAAATATATATATCTTTTTCGTTATAATTTTTTTCGAGAAGTCACAATTTTTGAAATGCTTTTTGATTTTAGAAAAGAAATAAAAATCATATGGATTTAAATTTAAAAAAAATACATTTGATTGAATAAATTTAATTGACGGAATTTTAACGCATCAATAGTATAAACTTTTATAAAACTCATTGTCAAATCATTTTTTTTTTCATTGTTATAAACTGATATTGGAAGCATTTTATAATAAAATAACATATAATATCATCAGATTCCGAGAAACCGGGATCATTCTTATTTTTAATTACTGCTATTATCCTATTGCATATAAAATAGATACATGTGATACATAATATACAAAAAAATTATGAAAAAAACTGTTCGAAAACAAAGAAATATCACTTCCTATATCTAAAGCAACAAACTTCGCGCTATTCAATAAACACCTTAAAATCGAAGTACTGCTCCAAAAGCAGAATTCTCGAAGCTTTTACAACTAATAAAACTATCGAGAATTTCAGCTTGCCCAAGACCTTCTTGCAGTTAGATTAACAGCCAAGGCCCGTGTAACTTAAACAAACGACACCTGAAAATACAGTGCGGCATTGTCATGTTTCTTGACGAGACTAGGCTAGGCTAAGTAGCCCGGCAAAAATCGGCTGGCAACCTGAGCGTAAACTTCGACACGCTCCTCAGACACTCTCGAGCGACAAAAGAAGCTTCGTTCCAGGGGTCTCGTCGATTTTTCCAAGATTTTTCCATTCATAAAAGAAATAGAGGAGCCGAAACACACGCGTATATATAACCAAGGATTGCCCCTCGCTTCGAGAGTTCCCTCCACTCGCTTCTTTTTTCTGATGCATCTTTCATAGCCGAAGACTTAGAATGTGTCCCGCATTAAAGCGCTGCACAGCCTAATTTCGCATTCAGATTGTCATTTTCGCGTTGCAACGCGCGCGATGTCTCGCGGTGCTCGTAAAAGGAACTTGCTAATGTTTCAAGCAACGAATGCAACAAAATTCTTTAATCTCGACGATGCTTCGAAGAGGCTTCTCATCCTATGCAAAACACCTACTGTAAAACCGTTCCCTCTTTAATGAACGGATCTCGAGGTAGTAAAAAAAAAAAAAGAAAAAAAAAAAAAAAAGAGATCGGTCTTAAAAACGTAGCAATCGTAGACTGGATAAAAAGAGAGGCTAGATGTATTCGAAGCGTCTAATAATGAAATTAATATCCGTGTTTTCAACAGATAATGACTCGATTATCGTTATTATGACGTTCGATTAAATTATGGAAAAATATGCATTTATATTTCTCTCTTTTAATCACTTCGTTCTTTAATAGATGAGAACAAAAAATCGAAGATTTAATAGCTCTGGATCATTCTGGATCATTATAATATGTAATTTATCTCTATACAGAAATAACGAGGAAACGGAATTACTTTGCTCGTGGTCTGGATAAAAAATAATATAATTCTAGATGCAGATTTAAATTGATAGTTTGAAGGTTTTCGTTGGCGATTTTTCCTGTATGGAATTTAGTATTTCTTGTTTCAGAATTACAATGGAAAAGAATGGTTCCAAGGAAGATAGGTAGGTGGAAATAGCGTCTCGTATTCAGCAGACGATAAAAGAAGTAGAAAAATTCGATTTTCCATAAAACTTTAAATTTCCCTGTCATCTTGTTTTCTTACCACTTGAAGTTGAATGTTTAATGTTTTTAGATTTTCATAGCTTAGAATACGGAACAAGTGGGCGGTAAAACGAACCGGTAGTTTCAGAAGAAATTTTAACGTGTACAAGTTTCTTAATGACTAAGAAACGCGAGCCTTCTCGAATTCAAAAAGTATTTAAACAAGCATCAAACACGAACTTCTCGAGAGGAAAAAAGAGATGAAGAAAGTTGGAAATTCGAATTTTATTAGCGCCTTTCAAAGTTACATGAGAATCGAAAAAAAATTATTCCATATGATGAATCAATTAAATATTATTGCAATAGTTGACTCTTATAAAATGATTCTCATTGAAAATTATTGAAAGTGAAAAAAATATTCAGAGATAAAATGGGCGAATATATCAGACATATATTTATTTTTTATATCGCTTTTTTAATAGACGATCACAAATATGTAGGTCATATCTATAGATCAATAAATCTTTAATTTGACAAGTCTAGGGAAAACTAAAATAATATTTTATTTATGAATCATTAAAAAATTTAATCGTATCAATTAGTTAATTATCAAAAATTTAAAAATTAGCTTATAGAATTTTTTTATGTTTTGAATATTTTCAGTTTTTTCGATTTTTAAAGTATTTATATTAAATCCATATGTAATATATAAGTATATACATATAAAATTGATAAAAATAAAATTCATTATTCCATAAAAATTCCATAATTATAAAAACTATTTTAACGCTATTTTATAAATCTATCGATAATAAATAATAAATATCTATCAAATATTATATAAATATATCGACAAGATAATGATAATCACGTGTCCACGTGATACACTAGTAACACTTACTATTTTCTACACGAATGTTTCTGCGCAATAAATTGAACCGTAACGAATAAATACATTCTTGCATAATTTTAAAGAATCAGTTCACGTACAATTACTTGTTTCCTTCATATTGTCATCTTTCGATTGTAAATATTAATGATGTAATAAAACTTATATAAAACTTATATAAAAGCAATATTCAAGATTTCCCTATTTTAATCGTATAAATATATATGATTAAATAAGTCATTTTCTCGTAAGAAAATTGATTTCGAATTAATTTTTTAAGTATTACATATTGTGGATATTATTTGAATTGATGATTAAATGAATACGAATCGATATGAAATTCGGATTTTTTCAATGTCAGTCGTAAAATTTCAATTTTGTCTTTTTTCAATAATTTTGAAATTACTTTTAATTATAATTTTTACATAATATTTAATTAAGAAGATTTTTTTGATAAAAAAATACTTTCGCACTTATTCGATATAGTTTTAAACAGTAAAAAGTTAAAATTAGGAATATATCAATATTTTATAAAATAGCTCAAACTTAGAAATATTCGTCGACCGCATAAATATTCCGATGAATTATATATTATCTGTAGGAAATGTACAAAGTACTTATTGTTAATAGCTAATGACTTAAGTCAAAGAATATCGAAACATAGAGAGAGGGTAACTAGCAAGACTTCGATATACGACACGCGTTCATAATTCTAGAAATAATTTCAACGAGGAAATCAAGGTGAAATTGCGTCAGACAGATAACAACGAAGCGCGATATGTAGGCATTTAAAAGGACCGCGCTTGTTTACACTCTGGCCCGGTCGACGTGCACACATGGCTTTCGTCTCTTTTTGCCAGGCGAGAATTACGCCGACGGCTAGACACTGCATATAGAGACATCTTGGCATGCGGTTGCATTGCCAAGCGAAAAATGCGGAAATTTTTCACCGATATTTTTTTTTTATTCTAATAACATTATAAAAAATAACAATGTATTGTTCAAACATACCGGTGTAAAAAAAAAGTCTATTCCAAGAAACCGTTGATTCGAGACGCTGTTCCATCCCAAAAACACCGAGTCACTTCGACGAAACTGCTTTCCAAGAAATCTTTTCCCGTTCTTGGGTCAAGATTTGTTGATGGCCAAGTCTCTTTTCGTCCAACCTTTCTATCGTTCTTCCTTCTTCATGGTTCAACACTATTTCTCTCTCATCCACACTCTGTTTCTTCACACACATTCACTCGGGAAACGTCACCGATTCGTTCACGCCGGGACGCATAGTAGTTTTCCGTTCCCTTTTGTTCTTTGCACGCTTTCTGTCCTTGTTCTGTTCCTATGCCAAGCACACGAGCAGCACACACGATTGTCACGCGACGCACTTTAGGCGCGATCACGACGACGAAAATCACAATATTACATGCACGATGAACAATACAGCAAGCAGCACATTTGTCTCGATAAGTTCCATATCGCGAATATAAACGATACGGAAATAAACGAGATCTGCGTCACCGCGACCGCGAAACGAGAGTTATGTCTCGACACATCTCTGTCTTTGGAGGTTAGGTTCGGTTATCTGGCGTCTCTTTCGCTCTCGGCTTGCCAAAGCATGCGTCTCCGACACTCGATTGCGAATGGTCTCGAACGGCTCTGACGACGACACTCAGACAGCATGCACTACCGACACGGACACAAGATAGACTCGTACTCGTCTCTAGCTCGGTAGAACCGGCGAAAAACTGCAAGAAAATCCAGCCATGCTGACTGCGCGACCGGCGTCAGACTGCCGCGAGGACAGAGCGGGGATTCAGTTGAGTGGCATCGCCCGACAAGCGGGGCCCCCCCTCCATCTGCCACACTCGACCGCCGGACTCTCGTCCCTTCTGCCCCTTCCAGGGGCACGCGTTTCTCCTCTCGTCCCTACGACCCTTTCCTCCCCACTATTTTGTCGTTCGACTCACTCTTCGCGTCGCCTCGCGAACTTCGTCGTGATATCCATCCCCTCCATTGTACGAGCAAGCAGTGAAAGAGAGGTAGAGCGAGGAAGAGAAGCACGCGTATACCGCGTGTAAGAGAAGGACTGACGGAACGGGAATGCAACGCATGCGCAGTGCAACGGTCGCGGCACGCGGTCGCGCCCAAACGCATCTTCTCGCGATCCTCATATTGATGTACTACGCGCTTGCACTCACGGCGAACCGATTGCGAGCCTCGCGAATACCGAGCGATTCATACGTGAGAGATGAACGAAGCAGCTCGTTAAGAAACCGCTGTCGGCCACGAGATATATAAGCATCTTCAGGATCGTCTTGAACGCCATCGTACAGGAATTTGATCAACGACAGATCACCGACACGCGTGACAGAGAGTTGAATATCCTGTTCCATCACCGACTATCGGGGTTAAGTTGTACGTTATATAATACATCACGTAACAGTAAAGGTATCAATGTTATCGTATTCTTTCCAATATTATCAAAATTCACATAAATCCTGTTTGTTGAAGACGTAACTCGTTTTAAACGGTTAACAACTTCTTCGTTTATTTCTTTTTTATCTTCTCCTTTCATTTTTTCTACGTGGAAGATAAGCGATATTTGCCGGAAAATAAAATAACACGTCGATTCACGTGCATTTTTTCACGAGACTAGCTGCAATGCTGCAGTAGCTCAATATTTCCAGTCACGGGCAATTGATTACACTTTCAAAAGCATCGCAAGACAAGTCGGAGTCCCGATGGATTCGCAACTTTCCTCAAGATCGTATTATGCGCTTCCCGACCGCGCCAATCCCCTTGAGTCATCCTTGAAAAATATTTTTTTCTTTTTCCATTCGGAACGATCCAACTTTCCATCTCATCCGTCCCATCGTTGAATTCTTCATCGATATAATTCTCGCCGCGGCGTGCAGTGGCTCGCAGACCGCACCGCGAAACGAGTCCATGGAAATGGCTCGGTCGACGCGCGGGGTTAACTAATGAATTCCGGCGCGGTTGTGCCGGGTCGGCTGCGTTTCGAGGTCTTATCGTTGGCTGGAAATCAGCCTGGTTGGCAGATGTTCGCAGAAACCTCGACCTCTCTCTCGTTCTTCCTTCGTTTCTTTCGCGGCCAGACGCGTTCCGTGCCGCCTCCACCCTCGTAACCTTCTTCGTTTACGTTTTACAGACGGGGAAACATCGGCGCTCGGGCGAGAGAACGGTAAACTCGAATGAATCGAAGCATCTTCAGTCTTTACTATCTTCAGCTTTTCCTTTCCTTTCCATTTTGTTAAGTGGATATAAATTATAAGTGGATATCATAGAATGGTCGAATTATTTAATTTATTATTTTCTACTAATGCCATCGGTTCCGCGATCACAGTCCATTGCCCATTTGGGATGTATGATATCGTTAAATTAACACGAATTCGAAACTCGAAATGTGATCTTCTAAATGAATATATATATTTTCGACTGTGAAATTGAAATATTATAATATTTTATTTGAATTGTATTTAAATTTTAAAATTAAATAAATTCAAATCTAATCCAGTCTATAATCTAATCATATTTACTGATTTAAATTCTTATTACTTTTATCAGTTACAATGAAAATTCAGTTCTCAAGGATAAAAAATATTGAATTAATTTTTCTTAATTCTTTTAACGAAACTTATGAAATAATACAATTCGAAATAAAGTTAAAACGAGAAGAAAGATGCAAATGCACCGAGTTCCATTTGCCTCCGCTAAGTAGGAAACTACTTACAACAAGAAATATTCCAAAAGATGGATATTTCTTTCTTCCTCTTCCTACATACGTTTTTCTGAAATCTGTGCCGAATACGATACCGACTGGCCCAGATTCTGCCGCAACTTCGCTCAAAGAAACTTGTTTCCGGCGTACACAGCATATATCATGGTGCTCCTTGTGCGGGGTGGGGGGCAGTTACGAGAGGAAATGAAATTTTTTTTTATTCGCTACTCAAAGATACAATCGTATTTCCACTTGACGACGAAGGAAATGAAAACTTTCTGGCCACGTCTCTCCTCCACCGTTTTACCATATTGCGCAAATAGAAACATTATTGAGATAAGAATTCGAAATAGCGGGAAACAGTTTCTCGACGACGAATCAAATACGATACTTTCATGTTATTAAAAAAGAGAAAAAGAGAGGAAATAAAGAAGAAATCGCCTATTTCTTCCCCACGTGGAACTCCACCAAACGATGTCATTGAATTTTTCAGTTACGAAACGACCATGAATTTCCGCGCCGATAATAGTAAAGATCCGAGGCGCGCCTTCGTTCGTTCTTTCCGTTGAACGCGATACCGAGCGTGTCTTACAATAGGCGGAAACTGAAAACGTCACGTAGCAGAATGAAATTCAACCATGTATTGCCGGAGAACGTCAAACCGGTCTGATCGCGTGTTGTCCACATTGGTCGTGTAGTACGTACCGCCTCGCGATGCCATTGTCACTAGACGACTGCCTCATCTTATTTGTCGTTTCTTTTGTAAAAATCGGCATCCCACGTATCGAGATGGTTCGATCGAGCAACAAGAAGGCGAAAGCATTCCGACGAGTCCCTTCCCCTTCAAAGAGTTATATATTACTAGTAATATATTACTACATTCTTCTTGATATTCTTGATTCCTTTTTGATTGTACAGGATTTTTATCCTCTATTAAATTTTCTTCGTTTAAATTATATATCTTCCATCACATTTTCTTCTTCAAATTTTAATTTTTTATTTTTTTTTTTTTTATTTTTTTCTAATTTGTCTAATTTTGTATATCTTTATTTTCGTGATAATGTTCAAGTTATCTATCATGAATTTGTATTTTTAATCTTTTATCCGATTAAATAAGATTAGAAGCGTGTATTTGAATATATTTGTATAAATGTATTTGTTGATAGAATGAATTTTTTATATAAGAGTCGATGGAAAGATTTGCGACGAACCTCATTTCTTTACAAAGAACAACCGTAATTTAATCGAGACTTTATGTTTTTCGATCACTTTCAACCACTTTTGTTAACGAACAACTATTATCGTGTGCAATTACCTTGTCATTCAATGTGTTTTACACTCGGTGTACATATCTCAATTGTGTGATCAAACAACGGTAGCGGGATCTGACGCATCGAAGGGCGCGATAGGTGCTAATTAAATGCGTCCTTTGATGCGATACAAGACTATAGATCGTCTAACAATGAACGCACCCTTCGTAATATTGATTCGTATAGAATGGTGCTTCGCAGAAAATTGAGGCGACTGTTGCATGAGCATGATTGACAGCTTCGAATGTAAACAGAACAAATTGTCACACTTAATTAGAGATCCATCTTTTTTATGATCGAGATTTTTCTTTCTTCCATAAACATGTCGCAAAACAGAGATATTTTCTCTTTTTTTCGACCAATATATTTAGGCGAAATGAGTCGAAAACTCATATTTAGAATTACAGTAGTAGCGCCATTGGCAAAAATATATTAAGTGGAAGTACGTTTTATCTAATATCATTTTACTTACACAACTCTCTTCATTAAACATTCCTAAATTTTAACCACAATCGTTACAACAATCGAATCAATATTCAATCCTTTGCCAATGCTCTCTATTTTCTCCGTAAAATAATACGTTTAGAGCAACAAATAACCACCAGATTATACGTAACTTGTAAAGAACGAAAATGCTGCCGGTATATTCACCAGAGATTACAGATATTCGACGATATCGGATACGATTCCTGTATCGAGCAATGCTGTATGTAGATACATTTCGATATAAAGCATCGTCAAAATCTCTACCAATGCTATCAGCATAAAATACAATCTATCAAAATCTCTCTCTTTTTTTCTCTTTTTTGAAAAAGATCAACCGTTATAAATTTTTCTCTATACTTGTTTTCTCCTCTATTATTGCATTTCCATACCATACATGCTATAAATAACCTCTCTTGTAACTTTGTATAAATTTGGTCAATTTGTAATTTTGTCAATTTCTAGTAAATCAATTTTCTAATAAAACTTCACACATTTGAATATTAAAATTTGGCCCAAAGGATATCGATTATTTTTAAAGAATGGAAAGTGGATAGATCCTTCAGTCTCCCTAATTTTCTTCAAACAACGTGTGATTATGATTCCTCTGATTCATCAGGAAAGGGCGCATGGTGCACAAACTTGGAACGATAATCGACAAGGTGTTATCAGTTCCTCGCCTTTCAACTATCCACGCCTCGATTGCAAGCAATTTAGCAAATCTATCAGAAATCACGATTCCTTGAGCGGGCGTCGATCAACGGCCTCCTCTCTTAAATTAGGCGACGCGACATCTAGAGTTGATCCCGGCCATCAAGCGGGAAACGCATCGCAGTCATTAAGCCGGGGATCGATTAAGCAGGATCGCGGGGATGTTTGTACGACTATGGTAGGCCTGTGCTATCTGATTTATTAACGAATACCGTCTCTGGAAATTAACCTCGTCTAGTTGGCGTGTTTCTGTGTTCCGTGGCGCAGACATGATCATCAGCGAGCTCATTGGCCAACGGTACATTAACTAATTACTCCCGGAATTCGAGCTTCTGGCAAGTCGATATTATTGGATTATGTCGGTATTTGGCTATGTCGGTCGATTTTAAAAAAATAAAATCTTTCGCGCGAGAGGGTTGTAACAGAACTCGAGTCGATTTCGAGTTGGACGACGAAACGAGTTCAATGAGAGCGGATTGAATTCGCCACATTGGGAATGATAGGGGAGGAAGTGGTCGGCAGGTTCTTTAAGGATAGGGAAGGATACGTAAGT